ATAGATATTACTACCAATCTATGATCACTCTCATTCGAACATAGCCTCGATTTATTCATATACTCATTTTTTACTCATGTATCTAAAGAGACGTGTGTACAATTTTAAAAAAATATAAAAAAGAATCAATAATTACCTACGCCAACTAGGGTTACATTTACTCTTTTAAAACTCCGACCACATTTTCTTTAGACCTAACCCAATTATAAATCTTTTGGGCGGGTTAGTTCAGGTTGTTCGGATCTTGTATTTATTTTTAAACATTTAATTAAAATTGGTAACTCAATTCCAATATAAAACTCGAGAAATTCGAAAATAAATAATAAAAAATTATAAAATTAAATTAAAAATAAAAATAATATAGGTAAGTATTTTAAAATTAACAATAAAATCAAGTTGAGTCGATGCAACTCAATCAAGTGGTAGAATAATTCATGAACCATCTCAATCGGTAAAATTTCCATTTATTTAAACTCGATAGGATCCCCTTTTTTACGTCTCCATGTCCCTCCCATGTGGCGACATGGGGGCGAAAAAAGGAAAGAGAGGGATGGGGTTTCTCTCGCTTTTGGTATAGCGGGCCTCAGCGGGAGGCCCGCACGACGGGCTATTAGCTCAGTGGTAGAGCGCGCCCCTGATAATTGCGTCGTTGTGCCTGGGCTGTGAGGACTCTCAGCCACATGGATAGTTCAATGTGCTCATCAGCGCCTGACCCTGAGATGTAGATCATCCAAGGCACATTAGCATGACGTACTTCTCCTGTTTGAAACCAAACTTCTCCTCAGGAGGATAGATGGGTCGATTCAGGTGAGATCCAATGTAGATCCAACTTTCTATTCATTCGTGGGATCCGCGCGGTCCGGGGGGACCACCTCGGCTCCTCTCTTCTCGAGAATCCATACATCCCTTATCAGTATATGGACAGCTATCTCTCGAGCACAGGATCATCTCAAATAAGTTTATAACTCAACCCGAACCCTACAAAATTAATTGGGTTCACTAGATATTTCAGATGAAGATGTAAATATCGAAAAGATGTTACCATCGAAGTGAAAATTGGGACACAACTTTCAAGATGATTAATGTGTTAGGTGCAAAATATGCCTCTTTTTGGACCCATTGCATGCTCACTTGCCCCACCTCTCTTTTACCTCATAATGCTCTGTTTTATTGCTTTACCCAATTTATTGGCTATTTGGGTAAATTGCATTTTATCAACATTCTCCCTTTTTTATGCATATCTATGAGCAAATGGGCGAAACAAAATAACATCATTTCGTTCCATTCCATTCTTAGCTAGTTGAATACGAGTCTGAAGTTAAGGAACGGGGCTTTAAGTTCTCGAGAAGAGCAGTTCAGGAGTTGCGCTACATTTTGGTGGTTGTGAATGTTACTGTAATCTAATGTATTTATGATTCGACATTCTCTCTTACCAAGCTCTTGTATTCACTTGGGTTGAGGAGACAGTTTGTAAGCTAATTGGGCTTCGAGATTACGAAGACGTGAAAAGAGCTCGTTTTTGTCTTTCTACCTTACCATTTTGTGTCCGATCTTGATTTAGGAAAGGATCTTATCTCTTTCATTGAAGCACATTAATGCAGAAGGAATCTTTCGAGAAAGGCTACCATAATTGAAAGGTATTTAGTCTCCTCTTTATTATATCTAGAAATATACGATGAAATTTAAGTTTTAACATTTATTAAAAGGACAAGGATTAAATTTAGATATTTAAAAAGTAGAGGGACTAAAACGAAATAAGACATAAAATACAGATACCATAAAGTAAATATGTTCATGAATTTAATAAAATAGTACAGGAATGAACCAAGATCACATCATGAGAATATAAATTATAAATGAGAAAAAATTAAAAGAATCAATAGTTACTACCTATGTCAACAAAACACATCGTTACGTAATTTAAAACTTCAAAATTAAGAATGTTTGGTTTGAATCAATCCTATGTTGGACGGTCTCTTGGGCTCTTAGAACAACACGGGAATGCCTTAATTTCTTTAAATTAATATTTTTATATTCTTGCAATTTTGGGGAAATTAAATTAAAAAATAAAAAAAAAATTGATATAATGGAAGGGGCTTCATTTTCTTATATTTGTCTTATTGAAGATGACAAGAAAATGAAATTCAATGGACCACCAACAAGAAGGGTAGCTAACTTATCAACTATGGCCCCTCACCAATTTGCTTGGAAATTATAGGGTTAGTTCATCTCGGGTAAATCCGAGCATAATTCGGTTAGTAAAATGTTAAAAAAAAAAGAATTATGAGTCAGAGGTTTAAATCCTGCCGACGTTATTTTTTGTTTAAAAAATATTACACCAGATAAGATAATTTGAATGTGCAATAACCTAAGAAGGAAAGACGAGGTCTTGCTCACTAAACTAAGCTCATATGTTGTCTTGAATCTCTCCGGGTTAAACTATAAATTCAGTTCTTAAACTTTAATATTTTAAAAAATTCACGGATCTATTATGTATAAAATTACGGGAGTAATAAAAATACTTGATGATCCGGAAAATTTGATCAACTCAACTCGTACAGAAGTATTAGAAATTCTTCATTATTTTGAACGAACATCGAGACCTAGAATCATGTAGTAGTGACCTAAAATAAAAATTTTGATCATTACCCGTTCCAAGTCATCATTACACCGTTCTCGGAATAATTTGTAAAAACCTTAAAAGTGTAGAATGGAATAATAATTTATAAAATGTGACAGTGTCCTTTGTACTTGTTCTTCAATTTTTGAAGAGATTGAATAGCAAAAGTTCCATTTCAAAATAGTAAACATTTAAAGATCTAAACAGTTCCATGAAATTGTATTAAGATAATGTGTTGTCATTATCAAAATGTGCCATTTTAAATGTATCTACTGGGTACACCGTTTCGTGTCTACCTCTCTTCGGGAAATAGTCTCCTCGTTGGCACATGGTCCGATATCTAGCTCTGATACCATTTGTAACGGCCTGAGCCCAAGCTCATCGCTAGTAGATATTGTCCTATTTGGGCTTTTCCTTTCGGTATTTCCCTTAATGCTTTAAAACGTGTCTGTTAGGAGAAGGTTTCCACACTCTTATAAATGTTGTTTTGTTTTCCTTTCTAACCAACGTGGGACATCACAAAAAATAAATAATTAGAATCATTAAATTTGGTCTAAAAATGTCTCGATGTATAACAGTTCAAGTCCTGCTAGCAGATATTGTCTATTTTAGCTCGTTACGTATCGTTGTCAGCATCACGGTTTTAAAACATGTTCACTAAAAAGATAATTCATTTCCCTCTTCAACTGATGCAGGATCTCACACGATTCAATTCATGAACACTCAGATTTTAGTTTTGTCTTAAATATTTGGAAGTTTTACGCTAAAATCAATATTGTAATATCTAAGAACAAAGATTCGAACGTTTAACGTTTTAGATGAGAATACAATGTCTTAATCAGCTAAATATTATACTCGAGTCGTTGTCTGTCATTCAAATAGTGATTAGCCAAAAGCTGCTACGTACCGACATCTTATAAGTCATATCATAGAACGTCGCATCTCGTGGGAAGATTAGTCCTATCATTTCACGATAATTATCGAAAATCGAGATTAGTCCTTCTTCGTTGTTGTTCTTCTTCATGTTCTTTGAAAGCCAAAAAGGTTCAATCACATCAAAGCACAGCACAGCCATGGCTGAAACAACTTTTTTTTGCCTTATAAAACACTATAAGTACCCACCACACTTGTATCTCTCTTTTTTGCCTTCCTGGTCCCAGCCTTTTGCTGCCAGCCGTGGGCACTACTGAAACCCCATCATTTTTTTGACGGGTATCTTCACGAACGTTTTAACATTACCTTTAAATTAGAGTACAAATCTTTTACCGGTGGGACGAAATTGAGACCTAAAAGGGTGTGTTAGTGATCTCGAACTAAAATTTATAGCTAAAGTTGCAATATTACCCTTAACCTTTCGTAAGCGTTTCAAAACTGCTCTTCAATTAGAATATAAATCCTTTGCATGTTGGATAAAATTACGACTTGAAAAGGTGTAGTAATGATCTCGATGTTTATAATATTTTTTCTAAACTTGTAATAATAATTCTTACATTTCAAAAACGTTTCAAAACTACCTTGAAGTAAGGTATAAATCTTTTACAAATTGGACTAAATTGAGACTTAGAAGTGTGTGGCAGTGATCTCGAACTAAAATTTTGATATCCACATAGTTCGATAAGTCACCACTGCCACATAATTTCAAGTCTTAATTTTCGTCGAACATGAGGTTTTCGCTCCAAGGGTGAGCAAAACTCCATACTGGAATTTGGTTTTTTACCATGTACGAGGATCCCCGCTAAGCATCAGTGGCCAAGAAAGCATCCTATGATACGCCACTCCAAAATAATCAACAAGTCATAAATTTTATTAGGGACGGGCAAAATTTTACAATTTAATAATGTCAAATATGCATAATCAATCAAAATTATTCATGACCAATGCTAGCCGATATTGTCCTGTTTGAATTTTTCTTCGAAAGTTTTAAAACGGGTCTGCTAGGGAGAAGTTTTTCACATCCTTAATATCACCTAATGTCTGGCCCTCCAACCAACGTGGGATCTCACAATCCACCCCCTTGGGGCCTAACGTCCTTGCTAGCTCACAACCTACGTCCTCGCTAGCACACAGCTTAGTGTCTAGCTCTAATACCATTTGTAACAACTCAAACCCACCAATGGTAGTTATTGTTCTCTTTAGGCTTTCCCTCCAACGGTTTGCTATGGAGAGATTTCCACCCTCTTACAATAAATATTTCATTCTCTTCTCTAACAGACGTGAGATCTCACACAAATTCAATCATTTCTCGTATAACGAAAGTATTTTAAATGGTGGGTATTGCGTAAAAAATTGGTATAAAATTAAATATAAAACATTTATATACAATTCTTTTGTTTTTTTCCTCTATATATAAGCCAGAAGTTTCACTGTTTTGATCATTGAACCCAGAAGAAGAATATAAATAAAGCACATCTATCTTCTTTCTCTATTTAATTGCCTCTTTCACTTCATTTTCATACACTAACTTCCAGTCTCTTCTAAAAAGCTTTGCCTTTTTCAATCATGTCAAGCTGCATCAACAGTGCACAAGAGCAGCTCTGCTATATCCCCTGCAATTTTTGCAATATTGTTCTTGCGGTATATTGCTATCTACTTTCATCCAAACTCCACAAAATTGATATCTATTCTCTTCATCACCCTTCATTTTTGCTATCAAGATCTGGTTTTCCCCCTCTTTTTTGTGCTCGATTTTCTCTTTTGAAAGCTTTTAGATATATGTAATGATCATTCCTTTCTGGGTTTGTTTTTGTTCTTCTAATTCAGCTTAACTATGTTCAAATTGGCTAGAACGAAAAAATGTGCTCGATTTTCTCTTTATAAAACTTTTAGATATATAAAATGATCATTCATTCTTCTAATTCAGCTGATCTATGTTCAAATTGGCTAGAGATCTAGTCTCTTACTAGGGCTAACTTTGAGAAAATTAACTGGGTTGTTTTAATTTTCGATATTTTTTCCTGCGATGAATCAAATGTTTTTTTTTTTTTTTTTTTCCCGACCAAACAGGTGAGTGTTCCATGCAGCAATATCTTTGACATCGTGACCGTCCGATGTGGTCACTGCAGCAACCTCTGGTCTGTGAACATGGCTGCAGCTTTCCAATCTCTCTCATGGCAGAATTCTCAGGTAATTTATTTATTTTTTTATTAATTCATTGAAGAGATCTCAAATGTCTGAAGAACAGCAGCGGCCATGGCGGGGGAAAACCCTCAAAATTGAAAGAAAAAAAAAAACACTTTTATCTTCTAAGATCATGTTTTTGACTGATTTTCCAACATGGGTCAATGGAGTTTTCAAAACCCTAGGCAGCGGCGGTAGTGGTGGCGGTGGTAGTGGGGACGGCGGGGCGGCGGCAGCCGCCGCCATAACCTATTTGGAATCAGAGAAGCTAGGAATTTTCGATCAAAAAAAGAAAATTTTCAAACTTTGAGGCACCTTTTTTTGTTCTAGAAAATTTATTTTTGGTTGATTTGATTGATTTATTTATTGTTCGTTTTAGGGTTTTTTTTGTTTTTGGTTCATTCTCTTACGTCTTTTCCAAAGCTTTTGTCTTCTACTATTGAAACAACAGATCCATGAACAGATGGTTTTTAATTTCTTTTCACCAATTTTCTAATTATTTTCCACTCATTTTCAAATTCTCTCTTTCTCTCTCTCTTCAAATCCTTAAAAACATAGTGTTTTTTTCTTTCAAAACATAACATTAATGTCTCAAAAGGCCACCTTAATCAATCTTTGTCTCTCCCTCTTTATGGAACATAACTAGCTTCATCTTTCATCTCTCTAAATTAGCCTAGTTGTTATCGATTTCGTTTTCAGGTTTCTGATTGTTTCCTCTTAATCTTTTGATTATCATTTTCATCTTTGTTAAGAAAAAACGCTTGAATTCATAGTTAAATTAATTTTTTTTAGCTGGGGAAGTCGGGTTTGTAAACTTCATTTTCAAAAACTAAAAATTGATAGGTTATCCTACGAAGATGTAAGTTTTTCATATAGTTTTTAGTCAAATTCAAACTACTTTTCTTAGTTTTCAAAACCCGACTTGTTTTTCAAAAATATCGCTAAAAACACAAAAATCAAACTTTTAGTGCAAATATGCACGTTTATAAACTTAATTCTCTCCAAACAAAAAGTCGAAATGTTTATGAAACGAGGTCTCTAAAAATTAGCTTAATTAGAACATAATCAAACTTTGATTTCTCTCTAACTTAGCTTATTTCTTATTCTCCCTTAAAAATAAACAAAACCCATGAAGCCAAACCAAATTTTATGAAATGGGTATCAACAATTTAGCTTCATCTCTCTCTAAGCAGCCTTTTTCCCTCTCTTAAACAAAAAAAAAAACACATAAATTTAGGCATCAAACCACACCCACAGTGGGCTTGCAGCTGATCATTACAGAGCTGAATTGGGTTCATCATCAAAATGCAACAACAAAATGAAGATGAGAGCTCCAATTAGAAACCCTACAAATGATGATCAAAGGATCATCAATCGAGGTAAAAAAAAAAAAAAGATCAAATTTTTCTTTAATTCAATCATTAAATTTTCTATATTTATGTTTCCGAGTTGTTATTTTCTTTTTTCAGCTCCCGAGAAGAAGCAGAGAGTACCTTCTGCATATAATCAGTTCATAAAGTATGAAAAATAAAAATTAAAACTTTATTATTTTTGTGATTTTTATATAAATTATTTTTTCATGGGTCATTTCAGTTCATCTTTTTCTTTTAAAATCTGACAAAATTACATAAAATTCAGAGAGGAAATCCAGAGGATCAAAGCAAATAATCCAGATATTACCCACAGGGAAGCATTCAGTACTGCTGCTAAAAATGTAAGTACTTTTTTTTATGGATAACTTATGTTCATAGTTCATAAAAATTAGGGTTTTTTTTGTTTGTTTGTTCATAAGAAAATATGACAATCTTTTGGGTATTGACTTGCTTAATTCTGAAATGGCAGTGGGCACATTTCCCACATATTCATTTTGGCCTCATGCTGGAAACCAACAATCTCCAGACTAAGACGAAGAGCGATGTGAGTAGATATCGTAACGAAATAGTTAAACGCTGATCGATTGTCGTTTTACGATTTCGTTTTGAGTTTCCTAGTTCTTTAATCGTAGAAAACGAACGATTTCTTGTTTTATTTGTTGTTATTAGACGAGACGAGCGCGATATGAACTTGAATTTTGACGGTTTTTTTTTTATTATTATTATTAATGTTTGATAGGGATCTGAGAAGCATCTGATGTCAGTGCCAGGGCTGCACTATTGATGGAGGAAATGATGGGTTTGGAGAACATGATCTAAGCCAAAAACAAGAACAAATTGGGTAATTTCAAGTGATGAAATTAACAGCCATGCATATGTTTGCTTTGATTTCTATGTTTATTTGCAATTACTTTATTGGTTATTAGGGGAAATGTTTGCCTAAATTATGAACTGAAATTGTAATGTGTCTGATTTTAATATGTATGTATCCCGGTTTCTTGGGAAAGTAAGTTAATTAATAGAATATCATGTTTCTAATATATTATTTGTGAGATCCCCATTAATCAGAGAGGGAAACGATACTTTCATGGAAACCTTTTACTAGTAGATGCATTTTAAAATCGTGAGGCTGACGGTAATGCGTAGCAAGTAAAATCAGACAGCATCTACTAGCAGTGGGTTTGGGCCGTTAGAAATGGTATTAGAGTTGGTCGACAGGCGGTGTGCTAGTGAAGACATTGGGCTCCTAAGGGGGTGGATTGTGAGATCTCACATTGGTGGAGAGGGGAACGAAACATTTTTTTATAAGAGTGTGAAAACCTCTTTCTAATAGATGTATTTTAAAATCGTGAGGCCGGCGACGATACGTAACGAATAAAGCGGACAATATCTGCTAGCGATGGGTTTGAGCTGTTACAAATGGTATCAGAGCCAGGCACCGGGCAATATGCTAGCGAGGACGCTGGCCCCAGGGGTATAGATTGTGAGATCTCACATTGGTTGGAGAGGGGAATGAAATATTCCTTATAAGCTTGTGAAAATCTCTCCCTAATAGACGTGTTTTAAAAACCATGAGGCTAACGGCGATACGTAATGGGTCAATGCAGACAATACTTGTTAGCGGTGAGCTTAGGATGTTACATTATTTCTGGACTTGGTATTTTTTTTTTTTTTTTTTAAGTTAAGCAAGCGATGTAGTATTCAAACCTACCCGAGACAGAATATGCTCGGATGTAAAAATCAAAAGTGTAGTTCGTGCATATCAATATCCTTTACGTGAGGAGGCAACCCTTTTTCTTAAGTTACGAGACTATTTTACGAGGAACTCTACGCGGTTACCGTATACAAAAACGTAACCCTAATTTTGGCGCAGCTTGATTTTTGTGGGCAAAGGACAAGTGGGCTTATTGATAAAGGTTAATAATTAGAAAGGGGGAAAAGGGGAAGCTTTGATGCATAGCCAAAAAACATGAATATCACTGCGCCCATATCAGGTTCTCCTTTTGCCTTTGTATGCTTTTCATGCAATAAGGGAAGCAAATAGGCACAAATATATAGACTTAGAATCATTCTAGGATACTCCTATCGAAATTGATTGGATACGATTCGGTCCCGTAAATTAAGCTCGTAAAAACTATTTTCATCTATTTTTTATAGTTCAAGTAAAGTTTTGAAAAACTCGTTTTTATCGATAAATTCAATTTCTAAAAAACAATTTACCCAAACCCTAAGTTTCTAAATTTCTAGTCTAAAGAATGTTCATTCCCGCTAACTATCATGATAAGAATCATCGAATCAATAGCAATAAGGTGTGTTTGAGGAGACTCGAATACGAAATGTCTCGAAAATTATATCAACAACAATATATTTAATTAATTTAGAATTAGATGAAGCTAACACTTCATCTCGACCGAGTGTATACAAGGATTAGGTTGAAAATTTTTTTTGGTCCAACCTGAAATTTTGGGTTGGTTAGGTTGGTAACTCGAGCAGCTCAAGTAGAGCTCACAACCCAATTCATCCCAACGCTTTGTTTTCGGGTTGGGTTGAGTTGGGTCAACAGGCTGTTTCATAAAATTCAAGTCAAACATTCATAAGTCAGCATGCATCACTAAAAGTAGGGTTGGGTTTGGTTGCAATGCACGAACTAATCCAAATCTTCGCACAAACTAATCCAAATCTTCGCACAAACTAATCCAAATCTTCGATTTTCCAAAAAATTCAACCGAATCAAAATCGAAAAAACAAATCTATGATTTGGGTTGGGTTGTTTGAGTTGATTTGATTCTCGAGAATTGTATACTTTCCGATTTTTTTTTTTTTCAATAATGGAATGTTGTATACATTTAATCTTCAATGAGCAAACAAGTGGGACTTTATGAGCAGCATCATATCCTTCATTAAATTTGCTTCACAATCCATTTTCTTTTTCTTGGAATCCAAACAATGAATAATTGAAGGAATCCCCAAAGGGGAACAAATGGATGGAAAGCCATTTTGAATTGTTTTTTTGATCTATAAGCATCCATTAATTCATTACGCCATGACCTAAAGAACGGAACATTTTCGTGCTCTCGATCTTATTCAGTACCTCTTGTTTCACGAACAACGAGTTTGTAAATACCATTTCTACTCGTGATTTTCATTGTTTTGTTAGCAATAAAGATCAAATTCGGATCAGATAAAAAAAAAACGAAACAAAATTCATATAAACATGAAAGTTCATTTGGTAACATGACACGTTCTTATCGAAAAGAACAATTCTTATCATTCAATGAGTCGAGTAGAGTGATCGAGAAGACGAACGAATGGGAATAACAAGTGGGTATAAGCTTGATTTGAAAAAAATTTCATATGAATTTGAACAAGAAAAAATCCTAGATCTATATTGATTGGGAAAAGGGGAGAAAAAAGTGTTATCTTTTTTGGTTTCAAAAGGCAAAATCCTTGAAAAAAGATTGTGTTTTTGTGTTCAACCAAACTCATAATAAACTATGAGCTATGTGAAAGCAAAAGGAGTTCTTCACAATTGGACCACAATCTTCATTTTAGGGCACCTGGAATTCCATTTTCACTTCTCAAAGAATCACTTTCACTCGAAACACCATTATTAAAGGCGAAGAATCATGAATCGAAAAAAATCCGTCAATCTTTTGAACCGATCTGAAATTTTGGGTTGGTTCTATTAGCCGATATTGTCTAGATATTATCCGCTTTGGCACGTTACGTATTTGTTAGTCTCATAATTTTAAAATGGTGTTAGGTAGAGGTTTCCACACCCTTGTAAGGAATGTTTCGTTTCCCTCTCGAATTGACGTGAGATCTCACAATCCAACTCCTTTGGGGGAGTGTCCTTGCTGGCCCATCGCCCGGTATTTGACTCTGATACCAATTGTAACAGCTCAAGTCTACCGCTATAGCCGATATTGTCTAGATATTATCCGCTTTGGCTCGTTACGTATGGTTGTTAGTCTCATAATTTTAAAATGGTGTGTTAGGCAGAGGTTTCCACATTTTGTAAGGAGTGTTTCGTTTCCCTCTTAAATTGATGTGGGATCTCACAATCCAACTCCTTTGGGGGAGTGTCCTTGCTACCCATAACCCAGTATCTGGCTCTGATACCAATTGTAACAGCCCAAGTCCACTGCTAGCGGATATTGTCTAACTTAACATAACCTTTATGGTTTGGATTGAACAGTCAGAGTTATTTAGGTTGTCGAATCATTTTGTAACAGGTCAAACCGAACAATATCCGCTAGCGGTGGACTTGAGTTGTTACAAATGGTATCAAAGCCAGACACTAGGTGGTATGCCAGCGAAGGCGTTGGGCCCCAAGGTGGGTGGATTGTGAGATCTCACCTTAGATGGAGAGGGGAACAAAGCATTCTTATAAGAGTGTGGAAACCTTTCTCTCATTGACGTGTTTTAAAATCATGAGGTTTACAACGATACGAAACGAGGAAAAACAGACAGTATTCGATAGAGGTGGATTTGAGCTGTTACAAAAATATCACAGATTGTCAGCATAGATATATTTCATTGCTATTCTTTAAGACATGTGCAATAAAATCGTATTTGTATTTAATATATTATATCACAAGTTTTTAACTTTTGTTAGTTACTCTCGCTCGTGTATTGTTCTAATTGACACGCTTTCTCGTAACTTTAATATCGACGTACAGTTCTCAAATACATATGCAACAAATTTTTATCTTACTTTATATATATACATACCCACAGAAAGTAGGGAGACCCCTTAAAGCAACAACCGAGAATAGCTAGATTGATAGTTGGGTTAAAGGCGAGTATGAAAAGATGTATCGTGCAACCGTTCCTGTAAATTTTTTTTTTTTTTTTTTTTGGCAAAGTGTAAAAAGGATAATATAAAAAGGTATATATATATATATATATATATATATATATATATATTGGTAAATTGTGCAGACTTATATGTCAGAAAACATATTCTGACACTTAGAATCTGAAACGTCAAATTCAAGTCTGTTTGGCATTCATTTCTCGTCTCTCTCTCTTCCCCCACATACTTCTCTCTCTTAATACTTTCCTTTTTAAATTAAATGTAAAAAAAAAAAAAAAAAACGGTAAAATTTTAAAAAATGTAAAAAAAAAATGTTATTAGGATTAGTTTTAAATGAAAATGGTTAATGATTTGTTTTAAATTACCTTTAAATTTTTAATTCTTTAAAAAAATATACTTAAATTTTAAAAAAATTCATTAATATTTATAGACTTTTGTAAAAAAAGGTTTTAATTTTTTTTTTACTATGGATACGGGAATAAAGAAGTCTATCAACACCTCATAAATTATCTACAAACGTAAATATCAGTGTGAAAAGTTGGTTAGTATTTTTTAAACGTGACATTAATGGTGAAGATATTTTTTAAATTTTTTTTAAAAGTTTAAAAGTGTTTTTGAAGTTTTTACAAAATAAATTAAAAGTATTAATGGAACTTCGGGAAAAATCAGGGTATTTTTTAAACCATTAAGGATATTTTTTGAAATAAAATATTAATAATTTTATCCGAAACTAACCATAAATGTTCGAGAATATTTTTATTTATTTAATTTTTTTTATACTATAAATAAAATAATAATAATAAACATTTAGGGGGTTAAAAGTGGAAATTAGGTTTTATTGTTCTTCCCCCATTAGGAAGAAATAATGGTCTGTTTTTGGGAATAAATTCCAATGTTCAAAATATCTAAAATTTTGTAAATAAAATTATATTTAGATATATATGGTTTAGACTTTAGACGTCATTTTCTGTTGAATTAAATATTACTTTTTAAAATTTCATAAAAAGTCAACTTTAATGATGTCATCTCGATGTGACTTTTTTTTTCATTATTTATTACCAAATTTATTGCTGAAAAATATAAACTAAATATATTATTTATTCCTCTTGCTAGACAAATAATAGAAATTTGGTGAATAAATATATGTCCGGATAAATGAGGGGTGCATGAATGAATCGAGACCACGTCCGAAAAAGAGAAAGCCTTAAAATATGTGATGTC